TTTCCGTGTCCCTGGTGTCTCTCCTATCCCCACTGCCATATTTTATTTCTTTGTAATAAAAACTGCCATGAAAAAGAAAGGATTTTAGAAGAATACATAACTAATGTATCTGGGGAGATCAGGGACAACCAGTGAAGGAAATTAGCCACAAAGAAGCAATATTAAGCAAAGATATAAAGAATGCATGAGTCTGAACAATTCAAATTTAGACTAAAGAGGGATAGAGAGATATCAGGAAGAAGAAAAAACAGCCAGGCTGGTGTGATTCAATGGTTGAATATCCACCCATGAACCAGGAAATCATAGTTTGATTCCTGGTCAGGGGACATGCCCGGATTGCGGGCTTGGTCCCCAGTAGGGCATGTGCAGGAGGCAGCTGCTCAATGATTCTCTCTCATCATTGGTGTTTCTATCTCTCTCACCTCCCTTCCTCTCTGAAATCAGTAAAAATATATTTTAAAAGAGTGAGCCCTCCAACTGCTAGCTGGGAGGAGTGGAAGCCCTGGGATCTTGGCTGACTTGGTTTGGAGTGGAGTTTCAATCTAACAGAGCTGGAAGGAGGGATGAAGAAGTGGGTTCTGACTCACACACCAGTCTCCCCATTCTTACCAAGCTCTGGTGGATTTCCTTGAGTAAATGTTTTTTTCATTTGCTGCTTGCCTCAGGAACATTTCCTGAGATGATACATGTTTTCCTTTTATAATGTTCACCAGTTTCACTGGGGAACAATTGGTAGTGCTCCTAAACTATCGTGCTGAAGTGGAACTTTGTGAGGAGAGATATTTTTATAAGTTAAAAGAACAGTTTAGAAGATTATCAGAATTAAAATCGATGTCTAAAACAATTTCATTTCATACACCAGCAACAATGACTTGAAAATATAATTTTAAACAGGTTATATTTACCAGAGCAAAAAATTGTACACACCAATAATAAATCTAACGGAAGAGGTAAAAATCTCCTGCAGCTAAAATTAAAACATTGTGTTGATGTATATTAAAGAGAATAATAAAACTACAATCTTAATATAGAAGGCTAAAGACCATAAAGAAATCAATTCTCTCAAAATTCATTTATATTGTAATATGATTCCGACTTAAGTTCTTATGGGGATTTTCACAAAACTTGGTAATCGGATTCTATATTTGTTAGAGATTAGTAAATGATCAAGAATAGCCAAGATGCTCTTGAGGAACACGTTAGTGGAAAACATCCAGGTTCATTATCAAGTTTATATACATAAAAAGCGTGGTATCGATGCACCATTAGAAAAACAGAGCATTATGTCATAACAGAGAGTCCCTAAGAGGATGTTTTAAAGAAACAAACCAGAACTTCATAGAAGATATTTCTGGCATGTAGATTTAAAAAGAAGTATTTTAAATACACGAATTGGAAATGTGCTAATACACGATGATTTTTATGTATATGGAGTTTTTATGTTAATGGCAGCTTTATTTGGTCTAATAAAATAACTTAATGCAATTATTAATAAATATAAATACCAATCAAAATGATTTTTTTTAAAAACTGTTTTTGTTGATTTTTAGAGAGGAAGGGAAGAAGGGAGGGAGGGGGAGAGAGAGAAGAGAGAGAGAGAGAGAGAGAGAGAGAGAGAGAGAGAGAGAGAGAGAGAGAGATGTTGGCTGGCTGTTTTCTGCACACCCCCTACTGGGGATAGAGCCTGAAACCAGGGTATGTGCCCTGACTGGGAATGGCACCAGTCAACAGAGACAACACTCAACCAACTGAGCCACATTGGCCAGGGAAAATAATTTTGTTGTTGCTGTTAATCCTCACTTGAGGATATTTCCCCATTGATTTTTAAAGATTAAAGGAGAGGAAAAAACAGAAACATTGATGTGAGAGACACATCTATTGGTTGCTGTCCTGCATGTACCCTAACCATGGCTGGGGATTGAGTCTGCAACCAAGGTGTATACCCTTGACCCGAATTGAACCTGGAACCCTATAGTTCACGGGGCCCATGCTCTATCCACTGAGCCAAACCAACTAGAGTAAAAATGATTTTTTAAAAAAAATATTTATTTTTTATATATTTTTATTGATTTCAGAAAGGAAGGGGGAAAGATAGAAACCTCAGTGGTGAGAAAGAATCATTGTTAGGCTGCCTCCTGCACACCCCCTACTGGAAATCGAGCCCACAACCTGGGCATTTGCCCTTGACTAGAATCAAACTCAGGACCCTTTGTTCCACAGGCTGATGCTCTATCCACTGAGAAAAACTGGCTCGGACCAAAATAACTTTTTTTATTTTTTAAGTGAGTTGGCAAATAAGAAATTGTCATTGCCTGGGAGTAGCAGGTAAAATTTAGTAAAAATGACTCATAGACTACCTTTAAGCAGTCAATAATTTTCTATATGTAGGGGAACAAATGTCAGAAGTAGTAAATTATATGATTGTGAGCTTAGTGTAAGACCTACCAATGTTTTTTTTTTTCCTATGCAATAAAGGATAGGCCTTTGGCTTTGCAAGAATAATATTCCTGCTGCACTTTCTAAATTTCATTATAGACTGTTTTAGAGAGAGAATATACAAAGATGGTTTCTTATATAAACAATGTCAACTGCAAAAGGGGAAAGGCCTCCTTGTAATTTCATTAATTGCATCTTGAAGAGCAATTCCCATCTTCTGTTTTGAACAATGGTATATGAAACCATCTACAAATGTTCCTTGCACTAATTAACTGGTCTCAGACTTGTCACACACTTTCTGAAAATTTCACACAGCTCTATATTCTACACTGAGTGGCCAGATGATTATGATCTCTGAATGCATAATAATCCAGCCATATATATAGTAGAGGCCCAGTACATGAATTCATGCATGGGTGGGGTCCAGCCAGCCTGGCCAGGGGAAGGGGACATGGGCAGTTGGCCTGGCTGCCTGTTGGTCAAACTCCTGGTTGAGGGGACGATTTGCATATTAGCCTTTTATTATATAGGATATACACTGAGTGGCCAGATTATTATGCGTTCAGAGATCATAAGAATCTGGCCACTAAGTGTATATCGGGTTGTGAGATAAGGCTCTCCTGCTTTTAGCTTCGTGGTACGTCCTTCTAGGTCATGGAAATGAAGATTACTGGATCATTTTCTATATCACTGTTTAACTCCATTAGAGACATTGAAGGGTTTTTTGGCTCTTAAAATTACTAGACAATGAAGCACAACCAGAAGAAATTTAGGGGAAAAAAGTTAACTAAGAATGTCTTTTTTTGTCTGACTGCTTAATAGTAAGGCATTATGGGCCTGCTTAAATCAGGGACAGGGATCATCTGGGCCATATAAAGCCCTTGAAATCATTTGGTTAGGCCCTGACAAGGCATTAGGGGTGATTTAGTGAAATGCTTGACTATATATAGCATGCTAATTTTTAAGTTGAGAATTTGAATTCTATATGGCCTGCAAATGATATTATGGTCCAAATGGCCCTTGGCAGCAAAAAGGTTCCCCACCCCTGCTAAACAAAGAAAAAATAAATGTAATTAATGCATCTGCTTTAGGGAATGGCTCTCATTTTTTGGAATCTGGTTATAGAACTATGTGGTACAAAAGATTTAACATAGTTACTTGAAGTCATATGCATGCACTATTTGTTTATGTATTTGATTGTTCTGTAAACAATACGACACTGATGACCAGGAGTTGGACAGCAATGGTTTGGAATCCCTGTCTTAATATGCAACAATGAGGTAGCCAAATGTTTCCAAACTTGCCAATATTTGAAAAAAAATTCCAACTGAAATCATCATTTTACCCAGAAAACACAGCACACATTTACCAAAATTTAGTTCATTTGCTTTTGGCGGGAAAACCAGTCTGAAATAATTAGTATTCCTAATTTGAATAGATAGTTCTTTCATTAGTCAAAATCAGAAAATATATTAATAACGAATATATCTAATATGATTATAGTTCATGAGATAGGGATGAAGACAAAAAAAATATCATTTAGGGGGGGTGAAATTTTGAGAACTGTAGGACCAATTCCTATTCATTGACCAGTTTTATTTTGAATTGATGTCTTTAAATGTTGCCTACATGTCCTTAAGTGTTGACTCAGATAACCAATATGGATCTCCAGATAATTAATTGATACATGTGAAATGGAACACTTTTTCCTATGACTTTTCATTTTATTCTTATCTGTTTAATCACTGAAGGTCTTCTCTACACATTTTAAATATATGTGGCCCATCTCCTCCAATTGGCAGTACATAGGACTTGACCATGTTAAATGCTCTAGAGCATGCACAACCTCTTAGTTACCTGTGAGAGTCAATAAATTGCATTCTTTTGTATGCCATAGTGTCACATAGTCTATTTTTAACCCAGAGCTTCTCAAACATGTCTTTCAACTGTGGTGAGATTCTGTCCTGCCAATTTTGCATTATCAGGCAGGATAAGTGAGAGAAAATTAAGCTTATTGGTGGGACTTGGGATAATTTGTATCTTCTGCGAGGACACTTTTTCTTAAATTAAATAAATAGTTTGCATCTACAAGATGATGATAAAACTCCATTAGTTTATCATGGGGCCCCATTCTTTAGACTTGTTTGGGTATGGAGATTGTGGTCCATGCCAGTTGGGAAAATGGAAAGAGGCCCGGCTGGTATTGCTCAGTGGGTTGAGCATCTTCCCATGGACTAGGAAGTCCCAGGTTTGATTCCCAGTCAGGGTACATGCCCGGGTATTGGCTTGATCCCCAGAAGGGAGCATGCAGGAGGCAACTGATTGATGTATCACTCTCATCTATGTCCTTCTCTCTTCCCCTCTCCTTTCTTCTCTATCTAAAAATCAATTTAAGAAAACATACTTTAAAAAATTGAAAGAGAAGAGAGACAAAGAACCTGAGTGGTCCAGTGGAGTCGGGTAGCCTGGAGGCTCGCAGAGGATTTATGAACTAGAAAAACAAGTGTTGCCTGGGCAGCCATTTTTGAAATGATGCACACGATTGTGATTTCCACCTTTTCCAGATAACTCCCTCAGCATTTTGGCCAAGCATAATGGATTCAACCGCCAGAAGCAAGAAGTCTACCTTCTGCCAATTGTCATCAGTGACAGCGGGAACCCTCCTCTGAGCAGCACCAGTACGCTGACCATCCGGGTCTGTGGCTGCAGCAGTGATGGTGTTGTCCAGTCCTGCAACGTGGAAGCTTATGTCCTTCCGATTGGACTCAGTATGGGCGCCCTAATTGCCATATTAGCGTGCATCATTTTGCTGCTAGGTATGTATTTCCTTCATAGCTTCATGGTACCCATTTTTCTAGTTCACCAATGACTGTACATAAGGACAGCAAACTCTGACCAAGCCAGGTATCCAGCATACTTTTGGAAAGAGGAAGTCTTTTGGACTTCTCCTGGCTCTGAGATCACTAAGAGGAGGTGAGGAGAAAAAGGGTTGTGATGGTAAATGTTTGACCCTAGTCAGTTGGCCCTGTCCAGGCATGTGGGAGGCAATCAATTGATGTGTCTCTCTCACATTGATGTTTCTCTCTCTGTCTCTCTCTGTCCCTTTCAACTCCAAAAATCAATAGTTAAAAAAAAAAAAAAGGTAAATGTCCAATTGGAGATGATTATTTGGTGCCCTTTTCAGTGCCATCACCAGTGAAAATATAGACTAAGCTGAATGGTGGGGGAACTGGGAATGGGCCTTATGTGGTTATAAAAGCATCTATACTAATAAAAGAGTAATATGCTAATTAGACCAGGTTGACCAAACATCTTCCGGACATCCTACTTCCTTCCAGACAAAGTCACAGTGGTGGGAGCTGGGCAGAGGCGGTTAGGGTATATCAGGCTGGCAGGGGAGCAAGCAGTTAGGGGTATATCAGGCTGGCAGGGGAGCAACCAGCAGGGGAGGGCAGTTGGGGACAATTAGACAGACAGGCGAGTGGGTAGGAGACAGCAGTCTCGGATTGTGAAAGGGATGTCCAACTGAGGGATCCAGCCTAAACTAGCAGTCAGACATCCCCCGAGGGATCCCAAATTGGAGAGGGTGCAGGCCAGGCTGAGGGACACCCTCCCACCCCGTGCATGAATTTTGTGCACCAGGCCACTAGTCTATTATAAAGAAGACCTCCAGATCTAATGCATGCCCATTTGCTGCAACAAATATGTGTGCCAAACATTCTGTTATCTAAACAGTCTATAAATTGGGTTGCTGAGTCCATCTGATCACAAAGTTTGGTGAGATAAAACGAAAAAAAATAATCCTTTCGATTGTTTTATATATATATATATATATATATATATATATATATATATATACACACACACACACACACACACAATGAATGTTTAATACATGTACATTTTGATGAGATGAGTATGGCAGGCAATATTTTGACCAGGGAGCAAATAGTCTCTTTAGTGTAGAAAGTGTTATTGTGACTGGTGATGGCAGGAACAGCTTTTTTTTCCCAGAGAAACTTTTAGACTGTTTTCTATTTTGTTCATACTCCTAGTATTTGGTGTTTTTACTACAAGCACAAACAAAAAAGTAGAATATATATATTTTTTCTTCCAAGATTTCATTGTCTTCCTGAGATCTTTTTCTTGATATTAAAATCAAACAGCATTCTCTCAGGATTGAGAGCCCATCCTTCATAAAGGTGATTTGCTTAATTCACAAGGCAATATTATCAAAACAATAGGCTCATACGTTTTAGACTAATGATCCTCCCTCTGAACCTACAAGGTGTGTGTGTTGCTCCTAAGAGTATACTCGAGTTGGCTGTTATTTCATGTTTTGTTTTATTGTTTTTCCTACAGTCATCGTGGTGCTGTTTGTCACCCTGCGGCGACACAAAAACGAGCCATTGATCATCAAAGACGATGAAGATGTCCGAGAGAACATCATTCGCTACGACGACGAAGGAGGCGGGGAGGAGGACACGGAGGCCTTTGACATCGCCACTTTGCAGAACCCGGATGGGATTAATGGATTCCTACCCCGTAAGGATATTAAACCAGATTTGCAATTTATGCCAAGGCAAGGGCTGGCGCCGGTTCCCAATGGTGTGGACGTGGATGAGTTTATAAACGTGCGGCTCCACGAGGCAGATAACGACCCCACGGCCCCGCCCTATGACTCCATTCAGATCTATGGCTACGAAGGCCGGGGCTCCGTGGCGGGCTCCCTCAGCTCCTTGGAGTCGGCCACCTCAGACTCAGACCAGAATTTTGACTACCTCAGTGACTGGGGTCCCCGCTTTAAGAGACTGGGCGAACTGTACTCTGTTGGTGAAAGTGACAAAGAAACTTGACAGTGGATGATCCCTCCACCCACGGGAACTGAGCATTCTGTAATATGCTAGGGCCACTCCCCTTAGATGCGGCCAATGCGGCTATTTGTTTTAGAGGCAAGTGTAGCACCAATCATCTATAAACTTCAACTACATTTTAATGTGGAACCAAAAAAAAAAAAATAATGGATAATAAAAAAGTCTATGTTAGGAGGTGATGCATCTTGTGGAGTGTGAATTAAACCATGTGGAGTGTCTAGAAGTCGTTGGATAGTTGCTATGTACGTGACCACCACAAAGATAGGGATCCTGCCTCAAGCTTAGGGAAAGTTTTCAGAGAGGGGGAAAATATATATATCAAAATTAAAAAAGGTGCTTTCTTAGACAAAATGGACCTGCAAGGAATTTGCTGCTGAGATGTGTCTTCTTGCAAGGATTTTTATAAATGGGAATGGTTTTTTCCCCCTTCACCAATAAGGATCCCGCCACATACGCTAAAGCAATACTTGGTCGGCTGTACATCCTGACTTTTGGGAGTTTGGGAAGGCCTCCTAAGATGGTACAGAGACCACACATGTACATAACGGTTGGCCCCGCCCATCAGAGACGGAATAGCATCTTTAAATAGTGTGTCGAGCCTTAAAATAGTCACATGTTCCGAATCCATTCCAAGGTGGGGCTTGCCAGCGCAGTGGTGGGAGGCGAGAAATCTCACGGAACAGGCTTGCTTTTAAGAAGCAGGATTACTCCTTCCCTCCATTTCATCTCGTTCCACAAGGACACAGAGGTAGACTATGTCATGCAATGGACGACGTGAGGGACAGATGGTTTTATTTGTTTAAGCCTCAAAATAAATATTTTATTGATGTCCATTCATGCGTTTATTTATTAAGGTTGGTAACCTATAGAGGAAAGGGACTATATGGAGAAAAAAAAGATAAATTATATCCATTAATAATCCTTTAGATTGTTTTATATAAATATATATATACACACACACACACACACACACACACACACACACAATGAATGTTTAATACATGTACATTTTGATGAGATGAGTATGGCAGGCAATATTTTGACCAGGGAGCAAATAGTCTCTTTAGTGTAGAAAGTGTTATTGTGACTGGTGATGGCAGGAACAGCTTTTTTTCCCAGAGAAACTTTTAGACTGTTTTCTATTTTGTTCATACTCCTAGTATTTGGTGTTTTTACTACAAGCACAAACATCTGAAAGTATATCGATCCGTGTGAATATTTAAACTCTAGACTTTTAGATACCTACATACATGACCCAGGAGACATGCTTCAAGTTGCCCCATGATGTTTTAGAGCAGGAACCGATTTGTACATAATTTTACTGCTTCTGTTTTCAGCACTTCTCTCCCCGATCCTCCTGGTGAGACCCAGAACATCTTAGAGTCCAAAAGACAACAGCCCTAGCAGATGTGAGCATATTCAATTTGTAATACCAACCTGACGTTTAGGAGTAGAGAAATGTATGATACAACCGAACTACGACAACATGCAGATCATTTTACTTTTCTACTTTGCTTTAAGGCAATATTGTTTATTTACTCCATGTATTGTATTCAGAGAAAACTCCTGTATTGTTTCCTACTTTGTGAAATATATTTTTATAAATACCTTTGTTGTCTTCACTTTTCTTTTCCCCAATCAGATGAAGACCTACTGCGAGAGTCTAACTAGAATTCTAGAACATGCAACTAAATTATTGCAAGAATCACCTTTGTCTGTAAGAGCTTTTATATAAAGAACCAAGGATGTGAAATGGCTTGATCACACCACCTCAGGCACTGGCTTGGGCTGCCTGAAAAGAACATGACTTGGGCTAGAACAATGAAGGTACCAATTTTTGGAGGCTACTTCTACTATCATAGAAACAAAATATTTAAATATTATCCTTAGGCTTGACAATTCCCCAGTGACTTAACTAAGGCCTTTCTGAGTTTTTGTTGCCTGAGAAGCACCCAGTTTGTCCTTTACGTGTATCATGATGGCTGTTGAATGTGTTTTTGGAGATCAAAATGAGTGCCCAAAATGATTTCAAAATATACTAAGATTTGGAACAGTGTCTGACACAAATATTTAGTGAGTGTAAATTATTAATAGTAATATTACTAATAATATTCACTAATACTATTCTGACTACCTTACACATTCTAAACCAAGGAGATATGATTACTTTATTTATCTCTTGCATACCGGACTCATTTCTAGCATATTTCTCAGTGAAGTGCCATAAAGTACAGATTTATAAACCTGTTTGACAAATGTCATGTTAATTTTAGGAATATAAAATCCATACCTCCAATCTTAGGAATCAATAGGATAATCACCATATGATGGTTTCCATGAGCAGGAGATAATGTCTGGTACACCAGTTGCCCAAAGCCTACTGCAAAATTCACTTTGCCCGTAGAAACAGCATGAAAGTGTGGATGGATCTCTTGCTGATTTTTTGTTGTTGCTCTCACCATGCTAGCAAGTTGTGCTTAAAAACCCATTTAAGTTGTTATAATATGGAATCAAGTATAAACCCATTTAAGTTTTTATAATATGGAATCAAGTGTGTTTATTATTAGGACTGAATTATATTTTTAGTGTACTCTGAATTTAAATAAAGGTCCAAGGAACACACATGCATTTTCTCTCTCTCTCTCTCTCTCTCTCTCTTTCTCTCTCTCTCTCTCTCTCTCTCTCTCTCTCTCTCTCTCTCTCTCTCACACACACACACACACACACACACACACACACACACACACCTAGACTTAACTACTTTTAACTTATCGGTGGACTTGCCAGGATTTCTTTAACCAAGAGAGGGCATGAGGGTTCCAAAACTTTTAGAATTTGAGAACCCCATGCTCAACTCTTTAAATAATACTCATCTTTAACTTTATCCAAGTGACTGTTGTTGTCACTGTGCGCTTTCTGTTGCATAAGCATTTTAATGTGTCTATTGGGCCCAACCACTAGTCCTTTCCCATTCTTCTACCAAATGGAGAAGAACCAATGTCTTGGTGCCAAGTGAGACAAAATCATCTCCCTCTACCTGTCTCACAATTCCAGGCACCTATGTGGGGAGATGTTGCATCCCTGGGTGATTGGACATCACATGGATCCATTCAGCCTCCACCTTGTCCACTAATTGATCAAATAAAATTACAAAAGTATCTTTTAAACACTCACCCATAACTGTACAGTCTAGAGAAGTGGTTCTCTACCCACAGATTGAGAAGCGCTAGCAGAGTCACCTAAGACCATCAGTAAACACAGATATTTACATTATGATTCATTAACTGTAGCAAAATTACAGTAATGAAGTAGCAACGAAAATAATTTTATGGTTGGTGGTTACCACAACATGAGGAACTGTATTAAAGGGTCACGGCATTAGAAAGGTTGAGAACCACTGGTCTAGAGTATTAAGGGCCCATTCTTTACTATATAATCTTGGATGAGTATAGTTATTTTAAGATTAGAAATAATTTATCATCGGATGGTTAAACGATGCTATAAATTAAATTCGGGTGTTAACCTTGCTACACAGAATTGTGATTTCTAGATGATGAACAATGAAAATGTTCTGAGAGAAAAATGTGTGGGTAAGTGTTTGTGTGCATAGAAAATAAAAGAAAACGTAGATTCACTGGCATCACCAGTGAAAGGAGAAAGAGCCAAATGTGTCTTTGGGAGAGTTTGTTTAATCAGATGCTTAAAATAAGACAGGTCTCTGCGTGAGACCTAGAAATCTCCTAGGAGCAGCCAGATTTCACACTGAGTCTCAATGGAGTTCTGGGCCGGGCTACATTTTGGAGAAGGAAATGCGGGTGCTGAGAGCTAAGTAGCCAATTACTCTTTATAGCCACATAAGGACTGGAGGCAAGTGGGCCCTTCCAACAAGTTGTATTATGCGATCACAGGCTTTGCAGGGGATCTCACGAATGTATAACCTTCTGATTGCCTTTTTGATTGAAAGTTCCATCTGAGATCAGGGCAGTGCAAGCAGTAATAAGATTTCAAAAATTCCCATCACTGGCACTGTAGGAAAGGCTGAGCATGACTGAAATCCCATTATTGTCAGTCAAAAAGATAAGGTAACAGTGGGCATCGCTATAAAAGCTATATAAATGCACAATTTAAACAGGAATATCAGCATTGAATATATGTGTGTGTGTACACACACACACACACACACACACACACACACACACACCCCCCTCTTTATATATATACATATACCCAATTAAGTTACCAGGGATTAATTTGTAGTTTGTTTATTATTTATTTTTTTTGTCTCACAATCTCATACACCATCCCAAACCTGGAATGGTGGCTTTTTATTTTTCTGGCTGTAACCTTGAATTTGAAAGCCATTGGATTGAGGGTAGAGGGTTTTTAATGCAGGTTTCTATTTGAGAACAAAATTGTGGTTCATGTTACCCGGGATTAGAATTAAATGTATCACATTGTGAAACTGGACTTAGATGTTTGTATGTCCTTCTGTTTTTTTGTTTTGTTTTGTTTTTCCTGGAGAAAATAATTATAGAATGTATCTTGTAGGAAATAGTTTTCATAATATTTTTATTTTCCTCAATTATAGTACTGTTTTATTTGTGTAAAATGTTTCTTAGCAAAGTGACTCATTTGGCTACAGAGTGTTGCATATATTGTCAGTGCAATCATTGTTCTTTATGATTATAGAAGACAGAGATTCTATCATAGCCAGACATTAATTTTTTTTAATATATTTTATTGATTTTTTTTACAGAGAGAAAGGGAGAGAGATAGAGAGCTAGAAACATGGAAGAGAGAGAAACATCAACCGGCTGCCTCTTGCACAACCCCCACCGGGGATGTGCCCACAACCAACATACATGCCCTTGACCGGAATCGAACCCGGGACCTTTCAATCCGCAGACCAACGCTCTACCACTGAGCCAAACCGGTTTCGGCCAGACGTTAATTTTTATTATTTTCTTCTTAGTCAACACACA